TCCTCTCGGGATCTTGGGCACGCACGCACACGCGCCCGGCGTGAGTTTAAGCCACCGGGTCTGGGACTCGAACCACAGTCGACTACATGGGAGTCCAGCAACAAAGCCATTATGCTAACTGCTGGTCCCTGACAATCTAAAACTCTTTAAGAAATACGATAGACCAGGAGTTTTCTTTTACTACTATTAATTATTCTAGAGACATTTCTCTAATATCCCTCACTGGCTTTACAAATGCCAGTAACTTTGTGCTTCAGCAGACCTTGACCACAGAAAGATGTGTGCACAGTAAATGGTGTATGAGGAGCATACAGTCTCGGATCTAGGTGGCAACCTCAAGTACATGCAGGCTCAGACTAGGTCCTGCTCCCGAAAATCATAATGCTAAGGATACAGTTGCAATGCCAAGACTGAGATCTTTTAGATAGAGTATTCAATATCCCCTTTTTATTCTCCTAAGCACTTAAAAACTTTAGAATACAGCACGACTCGGGACCAGCAGTTAGCATAATAGCTATGTCGCTGAACTCCCATGTAGCCGACCATGGTTTGAGTCCCGGACCTGGTGGCTTAAACTCACGCCAGGCGCATGTGTGTGTGTGCCCCAAGATCCCAAGAGGAGAATGGAGGAGAAGGGACTGCAGTGTGGCCATACCCCTGGGGGGGGACTTCTTGCGTTCTGTCTCTCTGTCTGTCTGGCGAGCACACACACTCTATGGCAAAAACCTCTCTAAAAAAAAAGAATTTGAATATCATGAGACTGTTTGGGCATAAAACATTTTATGGGGCTTAATTTTCTTCCTGAATTATTATAAGGAATATTGAAAAGAGGAAGAGTCTTAGTTTATTCTTTTTTTTTTAATGTGCTTGCCGGGGAGAAAAAAAATACAAAGAGAGATAGAGAGAAGGAAAGAGAGAGAGCACCCCTGGACGTAATCATGACACAATCCCTTCTCCATTTCTCCAACCTATTGAGATTATGCACACCAACGCACATGTGCCTGTACTCGCCAGAGAGGAGAGAAACAGAATGGGAAAGTGAGAAGTCACCTCCCAGAGGGATGGTCATGCCGCAATCCCTTTTCCATTCTCTTCTCAAGATTTTGGGCAAGCATACACACATGCCTGGCTAGTAACATTCAAAATATTTTTTTAAATCCTACTCAAACCAGAATGCCATAGAGAAAGTCCTTAGAAGATTCATTTTCTGGGGGCATCAGGTGCTAGGTTTATAAATATATGCACATGCATGTATTTGATTTGAGTTAATTTTCATGAAACAAATACTATACATGCAAATTCTATATAAGCAAAATTCTGCAAAGCAAAGAGAAAACAGTAACTCCCCCTGAAATCAATTTTTCCACATACAACCCGATAGAATATTCCTCTGCTAATTTAAGTCAAAACCTAAAAATTACTTCCAATATGCCTTTAAAAGCTACTTATGTGTTAGATTAATTCTGTAAGTACCAGTACTCAATTTCTTTTTATCTTACCAAAGTCGCACAGTTTCAGAACATCATTGTGGCTGATTAAGAGATTTTCTGGTTTTATATCTGGAGTATCGAGATTAAAAAACAATTAGTAAAAATGTTCTATGTTCTCCTCATTGATGCTGTTACATCACTGTGATGGCACCTAATTAGAACTATCTAGAGTAATTTCAACAGAAAACTGGCAGCAAAACACAGAGTAACACATTTTATGCTAGTATAAAAAAGTTTCAATTAATTTTTTTTTGTGAAAAACAGAGACCATGATTAAAAAAAAAAAAGTTCCCCTTTAAGTCATAAATTAATTAGCTCTCTGAAAGGAATTTAAGAATGACTGAATCTAGGCCATCACATTTCAATGAAGTATTTCTACTTCATAAAATACTAATACAAATTTGGGGAGAAAGAATATAAAATGTTTACACCCACAAGATACCTTCAAAGTAACATGAGAGTAAGTAGCTAGCATTACCTTTACTGGAGGAACAAAATACATTTAAGACATGCTTTGTATAATAAGTCCTGTATTTACATATTTCTTTAGCTCTTCTTTTTGTCTCACAATTATCAATGCCCAATGCTGGAGCTACATTGATAAGTTAAGATTTCTATTTTTCCCTTTTTTTTTTTCTGGGAGATGAGGTAGGTGATGATGAGTAGAAATCCCCAGAAAATGAACTTGAATTCTCCCCCTACCAGGACTCTCACAGTTCTATTTTTAGAGTACTGTACCCATTGTCCATACCATGTGGTAGACTTGCCAAGGGAGAAAGGGTAGAGGGAGTGAAATCTGTAGATTGGAGAATTACGGTTTATACCATTAGTTCACAACCACCCATTCACTATACACTCAACCAAATCACAGCGCCATGCTGGAAAGGGAGCTAACGCAACTCCTGATTCAATTCCTCAAACTACGGAACAGACTATTACTGTTAAGTTGTTGGCAAAGTGATCAGGTATTTTTCTATGTTTTCTTCTATGCAAAAAGTGTGTCCCCAATAGAATCATTACCCTAGAGACTAGATGTCCAGTTGACTTGGAGATCTGTTCATGCCACCCCCAACTGTGATATGGCAATTGCTATGAGAATCAAATGCAAGAGAAATGTAAATTGTCTATTTCTACAAATAATAGGAATTGATATTCTTCATAAGATCTTTTATATTTTAATTTGCTAGGGGGTGTGTGAGCTCACCAGAGAGAGAAAGACAGAGAGGGGGGAGGGAGAAAGCACCCACCACCACCACCACCAAGGGTGAGTGGTCATGCTGCAATCCCTTCTCCCTTTCTCATCCTGACAGGATTTGGGGCACACATGCACATGCACCTGGCGTGATTTTCAAGCTACCAAGGCTGGGATTCCAACTACACCTTTGGCCATGTGGGATCTGGCTCCCTTACCCACTAGGCCACAGGAGCCAGGCCATGATTTTTAAGCTATTTTAAAAAGTGAGACTATTTTTAAAGCGATAGCCTTGTGTGTTTGTATAGGCAAATTAAAATGTAGCATTCCCTTCTCTGATAATTCAAACACAGTAAGTGATACTGCAACATTTTCTGATAAACATCTTTGAGTGTCGTTATTTTTTTAATGAATAATTATTTTATTTAACTGTATTTATTTATTTATCTTAATTTGACCAGAGAGGAACAGAGCAAGAGAGAGAGAAAGTAATAGAAAGAAGAGAGAGGGAAACTGAGAAACCAAGCCACCAGGTTCAGGACTCAAACCATGGTTGGCCATGTGGGAGTCCAGCCCCCTTAACTACCACGCCACCTGCCAGCCCCATACTGCAGACTTTTAGTCTAAGAGGAATGGTAAGTGAGTGACAATGGGGGTCAGTGACTTAGGGGCCACCTACAAATCCCTATTATGAGTTTTTCCTATTACCTGTCCTATCTATAGGACCAAAAGGCAATGGAGACCATCCCTTTGCTCTCCCTCCACACCCAAGTATGCTTCGAAGTTCACATCCATTGAACTTTTTTGTATCTCTAGATGTTTCTACAAATAAGTAGATCTGGTTATACAAATACAGGGATCTCACCACAATATCCAATTAATATTACAATCCATTCTCTTGGCGATACAAAAGGAGAACTAGAGAGCAAATGACTTCTCGTATCCCATATTAAAGTATTTGAATACATTAAAAATGTATTTAAATAGAAAAGTCAGTGCTTACAGAAATGTTAAGACACTAACATGTGAAATATTTTAGCTGTATTTAATATGTTCCTTAATGTCTTCCACTTTAGAAATCCTATACTCACCTCTATGGACGATATCATTCTTATGGCACCAGTGAATAGCTTTTATTAACTGATAGATATAACTTTTTACTTTTTCAGGTGGAACTCCATTTGGCATTTCTTCCAGCAATTCGAGCATATTCTAAAAAATAAAGAGGCATGAATCTCTGAAATTAGATAGGCCTACAAATTATGCATTAACTTAAAAAAAAGCATCTTGTATAACATATCTAATACACAGCATACACTTTTAAAATTAATTTGTATTTTATTCATTCATTCATTTATTTTATTTTGACCAGAGAGAGAGGTAAAGTGAGAAAGGAAGTCACCAGGTCTGGGCCTCGAACCGTGGTCGGCCATGTGGGAGTGTGTACAGTGCCTTAACCACCACGCCACCTGCTGGTTCCCACAACATGCATTTTCTCAAAACAATTGTTTGGCTTTACATTTACACTCCTTTTACATGCTGAATCAGGATATTGTATTAAACTGAGGTTTCCTTTTCTTTTTTTAAAGAAGAAATTTCATTTTTCTTACTGTCCAACGCTGGCCCTAATAACCCTCTGTACTTTTTGTTTCTTCTAAAGCCTTTTAGATATCATTTTAAAATTGTTTGAAGGGAAAGCAATACAAAATAGAGATGTGATACTGTAATATATCAAGTGGACACAAAAAGTACACATATCTTAATATAACT